GCCTGGCCGACTTTCCAATAACCCTACTTATCCACTATTCTTTTTTACATTCCTCTTTGGATTCTTTTTTTTTTTTAATAAAAAATAATTCCAATTGCTGAAGATATAACGGTGATGTATATGTCTCATGGTATTCCCTGAAACAATGTTATTTTTAGAACAAACAACACGCTTCCCTTTGATCGGTACACAGCCGTAGAGGCACTTTGATACACGGAACTCAAAGTTTGCTCAATTGGTGCACGAGTTACGCGGCAATTATATCACATAGCGTATTAATATCGCGAGCCGCGCCATTAAGGATCGATTAGCGTAACGTAACGACGCAAGCGTTATTAATTATGACGAGCAAAACATATACGATACAATTTTACGTATTGCCACGAGAACAATGCTTCTCTGTTATTTCAATTGGCGGCGGGGCAATTGAAACGGTTTCAATGTTAACCGAGAGTTGATTGATAATTTCTGATAAGAGAATCGGAATGTAACGGCTTGTTTACTTCCCTTGAAAGAACCAGTTTTTATTCATTTATTCATTTATTCACTGACTTTCACGAAGTCTAACATCTTCATTCATAAATTATACATTTCTGATCATTTTTTTTTTTTAGACCATCGTTGATCTTTTCCGATGGTGTTATTTACACGCGCATGACCTAATCATCCTCAAAGGGTTAAATTACCTAATTTCACAGTCTCTGCACCGCTTCGATCGTTAAACCTACGAACACGTGGCGAACCTTTAGAAAACTTATGGGAAGAAATCTGAGAGTATTAAATTAGCGCCAAGAATTTGCAGATAATTTAACGAAAAAAAAAAAATATCAACTTTCTAAAGTATACACATCGATTTCAAATAGATCTATAGAGTAGCTGTAGTTCGATTCAATCGAAGCCAATGAAGTCTACTTGAATAACGTTACTTTGAATTTGCTAGCAACTAGAGTCGTTTGCAACTCATCGAGCGATGTCAAAGCACCTACATAAACACCAACTACGTGAACTTTCTCCGAGGCATCTGCAAATCCTTGCGTTTCACATGCGTTTCGGTTCGACTGCATTCCAACCTGGAATGAAATTCTCTGGGAAACTGTACATCAGCAAATAATTGGATTCAGTATTTCTTGGGTGAAATTTTCAACTGGGTCATCGTTTTCGAGTTGAACCAACCACGGAAGAAATAAATGATTCCACAGAGAATTCATCGAAATTTCCTATCTTGCCGCTTTTTTTCTATTTTCACTCCATAGAATTATTTAAAGATTTTTCATTTGTTTACAAGAGAGAAAACGCTAAAGGAAATCGGCTTTGACCGAAAGGACACTCGGTGAAACGACCTTATTTCAATACCTGCATATATAATAATACTAACTGTCATTACAGATAATTTACGACATTTTCACCGCAACGATATCCGCGAGCATAAACGCACGTACGAATTACTGCAACTATAATAATTGCATTCCGTTCGAACCCATGCGATGCGCTTGCAAGGACACCATGATTTATATCGGTAATAAAACCGGTCTCTTTGTTCGATTTACTATAACCATTTCGCACATATCGGACAAGCTAAAAATCCTGCTGAATAGCATACGAAAAAAATACGAGATAAGGGTGTGCTAATTTGAAAAATTTTGTTATTGTTTCGTAACAGCCTATACCAATTTCTTGCAATATATAGGTATATGTATTATTAATGCAGCAATTAATTACACGCTTCAGATGGAACATTTCAACTAAAGAGGGCAGTACAGATACAGTATTTATGGAATAGAGAAATTTATAGCGATTAAATTTCCTTAGACTGCCGTGACATTCAAGCGGGAAATTAAGCCAGGAAATAAGGAAAAGAACGGTGTGATTAAAATTCAAAACGGTCGTCGATCGAAACCTCTGATAAAGCGTCTTGAAAATCAGAAAGGTGTTTCTGAACGAGAATTCCAACGAACACGGCCGTATAATTAGCAGGTTACGTAAAATTCAAATAAGTAGCAGAGCAACGCGCTCGTCTCGGTCAATTTCATTTCATTCCGTCGACGGAATTAGAAATAAGGAAAGCGTCTAGGCTAGAGAAGAGAACCGACCACAGCGTTCCTTATTAATTTTCTCCGTCTAACGAATTAAGAAAACACCATGTTTCCTTTCTTAAATCAAGATAAATTTCAAATTTTTATACAAATGTTTGCCTTAGTGACAACCTTGTTACTTGGATATCAGCTTTTTTACGAGAACGACTTCTTGCACTAAAAATATACTAGTTGATAAAAACGAGAAAATAAAATGGACTTTATGAAACATTCATGTGGTGATTAAGATAATGCAAGTATCAGCTCGCTTCAGAAATTCCTCAGTATTTTTTTCTTCGTATTGTTATACCTAACACTGAACAAAATAATAACACGGACAAAACATTCCTTGTTTTTGAAGGCCTTCGTTTACGACGATTATACATACTCAATTGCTCTTTTGTACAGGGACAGAAATTTAATTTTAATTACAGTTTAAATTTTGCCGCATCATTAGTGTTTGTTCAATCAAGGACTGGCAACTATAAAACAATGGTTTTGCAAGCGGCGTTTGTGAACCACTTCCGAAGAATCTTGCGACACGTTTAATCAGCCTCGGCGACGTTTATCTGGTTGGTTCAACAACGATGAGCAAGAAAATTCCTCGCGATAATCACGAGTACACAATGACAATTGTAAGGTTTCGTTTCGAGAGTGCAGTTCGGCTGAAAATCTCAGATTCAGAGGTTGCCGAGACAAGAATCGAAGTTGAACCGAACGCAAAAATAGATCAGCCGTATCTTTTCATTTCTCTCTCGCCCCCCTGCACTTTCACGGCTCTTTTCCTTTTTCCTTGGCCATGGTTGCCTCTGTTTCGTTGTTCAATTTCTGAGAGTCACCGCGAGAAAACGGAATCCACGTTCGGGGAGAAATTTCAAATAATCCAGTTCAATACAAGTAAACGATCCTTCGTCCGAGCGTTAAAACCACAGCCAAGACATAATTATGATTAACGAGTGACTCTTTCGCGAAAGACAAGGGACGAGTTCCCATTCCTCCTTTTACCTTACGTCCAGTTACCTGAAATGCCTTTCCCTTGTACTTCGCGCCAGTGAAAAATTTCACCTCTCCCTACCTGTCTCCGCGAGCATTTCGAATCATTAGTTCTCTAGAGGTAACAAAGTTTCGAGAAACTCTCCCGGGCATTTAATTTCAATTTTCCAGATTCGATATCGCGATGGTTACCTCTGTTTCATTCGGATCGTCTGATAAATTAACAAAATAAAATAATCAATACATCGACCATTACGCCTAATAATGACCTATCAATTATTTCACCCTAATTGATTAACCGAGAAAGTATAATTACCCTCGTTCATAACCCTCATCTTATTTTCATTGATTTATCGAACAACTGATAAAGTTATCGTTAAAATTACTTTCCCATATTGTTTAACTGGCAACGATAATCGATAAGTGTCTCGATCAGGAACGAGAGACAGCGATCCATCTTGTTGCTAGAATGTAACAATGTGTGCATAATTGATCTGTACAAACGAGGGGTCGACAGGATTTGAAAGAGAGACTGTTTCACGCTTGGCAATGGACACGACGCGACGCTCGAGCAGGATGATGAATTCTTCAACAGAAGTACCTTACCAAAACGTAAGCCAGATAAACCTAATCGTATAACGCTGCCAAGAATTCAGGATTTCCGAAAATCAATTTATCCCTATCTCTATTCTATTACCCATATTATGGGGTAGCCAAGGTGTTAATAATTGAATTATGCCCCTCGCAAATTGGTTTTCCAATTGTATCAGCGGTATTAAAAGTGAACGTAATGGATGCATCGACCCAGGCGATAAGGTGTTAAACATCTTCGAAATTTTCGCGATTTCTTCGATCGACTTTCGTGACTTTCACTCGACTTTCGCGTAAATTAACTTGCATCGATTCAAGGACGCGACCTCTCCGCGTATCGTCTCGAAGGATTTGCGGGGAAAAAGCAGAAGCTTTCATTTACTCTTGAACGCGGAGGGTTTAGAAACGACTTTGACCTACGATATAAATCTCAAGGCCCTCTAGAATGCTAGCAAACGTGGTGGAATTTATTTTTGAACGAAACATTCGCGATACGTCCGAGGAATCGGCTTCGTCACCGAGGCTTGTATTCAATTTCCTGTTGACCTATTTATATCGTGTATAACTCATCAGAAACGAGGCTATTATCAAAGTTCTCAGACTAGTTCGATGCTTTCTGATGACACTGATGAGACACGATGGGTAATTGATAAATCGTATCGCACTATAAAACTGTAAAGTCCTATAAAAGAACTTTGATAATCCTCTGATCGTTGCAAATCTATTTGTTACTCGATAAAGATATTAAAAATTGTTACACGTTGCAAGAACGAGGATCTTGATAACAGAGATTACCACATTTCTCTAATCCTGATATGTAATATTATCAAGTTATAAAGCAATACAAAGGCACTTGCTTCATTTGTGGATAATAAATAATATTTAAAAAATACCAATATTCATGATCACGACTGTAACTCGAGGATTAGAAATGAAACTTGCTCGCGGGGTAAAGAATCAGCGAGGAAAAAACATTACTCGTTACTAACGAGTAATCACATGATTACAGGTGGAATTAATTTTATGAGAATGCGAAGCGAGTTGCACGCACTCCTATCTAATCTCCTCTGATGCTAATCTAGAAAGATAACATGCCTCGGTATTGCGTGGTTAACACTTGCGATAAATAATGTATTTAAAAAACAAAAAAAAAAAAAAAATTGTAGGAAAAACCCTTTCTACTAATTACCATGTGGAATTACCGGTTGAAAATTTATCATTTTGAATTTGAAAAAACTAAGGTTACTATGAAATCATAGAAGGTACAACCTTGAGACTAGCTTAGTTATCTAATCGATTAATAAACACGAAACAATGATAAAAAGGGGAAAAATGTGTTCTTACCTTAAAGACTTCCGAAAAGAATCCAGCACCAATCTTCTCCATGTAAAAGTCATCCAATCGATTGAGCGATGCAACGGCATGCCTCAACGCCTGGCAGGAAGCACCTGTCCTCCTTTTCGTGCCGGTATCCTGATACGTATCACTAGGACATACGTTCAGATTGCAAATATTGCTTTCCATTTCGGTGGGTCTCCACGGATCACGGCACTTTTCTCGTTCCCTGTAACTCCTTGGCGAAAACTGTAACTCCGTCGGTAGATCTTGCGGCAGACAGGAAACGCAGTTCTGCTGCAACGCGTCTCCGTTTTTCATCCAATCTTTCGACGGTGTGGACGTGGTAAAATCACCTCTGCAACTTCTATCGCAGTTGCCACCGGCAGCGGACGAGTCGACCGTGTCTTTGTCACCGTATCCTTTCGCGGATGATCTCGAACAAGATTCACTCGGAGTCGATTGAATCACAGAGATCACAGAAAAGTCCATCGACGAGTCGGCCGTCTCGTCGCTCGACTCGGAAACGGCTCTATTCTTGCCGTTCGAAGCTGAATAAGCAGCATCGGAAGACCTGCTCGATGATTTGCTCGCTAAACAACCAGCTTGCGAGCTGTTCCTTTGACCCTCTCTGGAAACGCACTTTCCACCAGTTAGATGTTGCTCTTTGCCCGTCGCTAACTCCCGGCACGGGCCAGAGTGCTTCTTCGAGAGCTTGCAAGCTTCCCTAGAGCCAGGGTCAACGTTCAGGCTGCTCAGACTCGTGGAACAAAGTACCCTCTGTGATTTGCTCCCACCAGAACAGCCCGGGGATTTCGTGAAGTTGGGGCAATTGGGGTTGGACGAGCACTTGTGGACGACCGAGTTCGACTTCGTCACCAATCCCGTGTGGTTTCTTCCGTGAGAAGTTTCTTTCGAATATTTAGAGGAAGAGTTCTTAGTACTGCAACATCTACTGTTGGCCTCGACAAACGCGGTTGACGATTGGGACAGATTTGGCTGAACAGTTTGCGAACCACAACACGACTCGATGTTGCTAGAGTCTTTCGAGGCTCTGCGAGGCTTGGACTTGTCGTCCGTGGGGGTTTCCAGCGGACTGATACTCTCCTTAGACTTCCAACACTTCTTATCGTCGACACTCTCGGTTGCTGAACACGTTTCCTTGCATTTTCGCGCTTTAGACTTCTCCTCGACCGGGGAAGACACCTCGGACAGGCCTGTGCTACTGTTCTCCTTCAATCTCCATGATGATCTCGATTTATCTTCCACCAAAGTGTTCTTACTCTTCGACTTGTCCTCGAGGATACAGGGTGCTTCGAAGACCACGTTCTCCTTCGATCTCCACAGCTTTTGTTTCTCCTCCATACCCGTGGAGGGTGGTTCAGAGACCACGTGGGCGCAGCTGTCCTTCGATCTCCAAGCTTTCGACTTCTCCTCCGTCAGCATGCTCGATGTCTCGTCGACTGAGAAACACGGCAAACACGTGGTTGGACCGGACTTGCTGGACGAGTCGCAGCTACAGGGTGGCCCTGGTGTGTTCGAAGGTGGCACCTTGCCGAACATATTCGCCGTTATTGCAAACGGAAGATTGAGCAGGTTAAATCGGGACGGAAGGTCGTCGCCTCCTCGTCCTGCATTACACACGGATTAATCAGTCTTATCGCTGGACGTAACGTGACGTGACGTAACGTGACGTGACGTATTTTTCTCTCTATCTCTCGTTCGTTGATTCAAACGAACGAGATCGTCGATGCTCGATCGGGAAGATTCGGGAGACGACGAGCTACGACGTCCTCGACACGGTAGCTCGGCATCTCAGGGTCGCGTTTTACTTCGACGCGAGTTATGGTTGGCAGTGGTAATCACGATTCGTAGATCACAACAGACTAGGACATGATCCTAGCAGGGGACGCAGTGCGGCAAACGGTCGGCGTTGATCAACCCCGGAAGCACACGGAACATCCGCAACGACGAAACTTGGCACATCTCTCTCCGTCTCTGTCTCTCTTTCCTCTTCCTTTTCGTCCTTCAAATTTTTAGGAAATTTTGGCTCACCTGGAAGAAATCTGCGTTCCACGGAACCCGTTATTTAAATAGATATTCATCATTTCGTAAAGTACATCAAATACATATACCTAATGGTCGCGCAATTCAGTGCACGAACAATTTTTTTAATCATTTTCTAAGAAACGAACGCGTTCACTGCTACAATACTCGTATCTAGGTAACGATATAATCGAACGAATTAATCGCTTATCCGATTGCGAGTGATCTTATCAAGTATTTGGAACTATGTCTAATAGATACAGTCATGTGTTATAATGAGAATTACAATCGAAAATTTCGACGAATTTAACGTGGCGGTCAACGTGTTAAAGTGATCAACCCATTAGTGAACAATATCTGGAAACTTTCCAAAAACACGTTTTAACCGCTGAACAATTTCATTTGGCTCCACATCTTTCATTTCAAAGAAACAATACCTATTTGTCATTTACAGGTGTCTTAGATAGATAACTGTAGAAAACAAAAAATTTAACTTAGAATAACGCATTTTCTTATACGATAAGTACACGCAGGGAAACTTTCGTGAATTTTCCATCCGCCAAATTATAATAATATTAAAAGTACAATTTTGGCGCAACACGTATTGCGTGAAAATGAAAAGTAGAAAAAGTAAAATTGAAAAGGATGCGTGGGAAATAATACCATTCGCAGGTGTCACGCCGCAAATATTATTAATAATATAAATATTAGGAATTTTGGCGGCACGCGTGCAGCAGGTATCGGGCAATGCTCGTATGCCAAGTTGTCGGTCCCGGGAATGCGGACGGATTTGTTAAATAACGCGGATGCATGTGTGCACGTTGGCTGAACGTACACGAGCGGTGATACATTACAAGTTTTCATTTGATTTACAAAGCAGCGCTACTTCTTCCACTGGTCGCGTCAGATGACCGTTTTCACACGCGAGAATTGTAATTTAGTATATGCTGCATTCTCGCAATTACCAGACTCACTGTGTGTCTAATTGGCGACGCGATGCCTCGGTCTGCCGTGTTTTTCACGGGGTGAAATTATAACACAATTTTTCTTTCTTCTCTTTTTTTTTTTCTTTTTATCGAACCTCGAGATTGTATATCATATGGCCTAGTTTTGAACGAACTACATCATCGAGCGACCTGAATATCAGAAACGTGTCTGTTTACAGTGTCAATAAAATGGCGCGTTGCAAAAAGGCGGCTAAGTTAATTTTCTCTCAGAGCATGTCAAAACAATAGTTCGTTGAACCGCCGTTGAAGCTTGAAACGAGACTATATTGGATTACATAAAACAACGCTATACCCTTGACACCCGGCTACGGGAGAAACAATCGTCAAGTTGCTACTCTAAAAGATAAAGTGCTTGTTTGCCGTGGCATAGTTGAATGGTCCTCCCATTAGAGGGAAGGAAAACACGAAACCCGTGATGGAAAGTTCGATGCACCGCATCTCGGGAAGGAATGAGGGAACAAGATCGAAACAACGTACCTGCGCAAATGAAAACAACGTATCCAATGTTTTTCAGTCTTCCGTTTAAATCCTTCCAGTCACTAATCCTGAGTAAAGTCCATGAAGAAGGTATAACAACAGTGCCGATGACCGGGAAAAGCGTGGCTCCGACTCGCTGTCAGTGACAACAGTCGAGGGACATTCGATCGCGAAAGTGCCGTGAAATTTTGCTGGGCCTTGTTGGCAACGTGACGTTAAGATGATTTTAGATGACCTTGAACCACGTGAGTGAGAATTCGGGCTCGCGAAGAACAACACGTCAAATACTGTCGACAGGCTCGGTCGAAATGGGAGGCATGACCGTCTACCCCATCCACCACACACGCTGTCACTTTTGTTTACTGTCCGAAGACGAAGCTATGCCCGAATACCGAGCATCGATCACCGAAATTCGATCGCATCCTGCGATCACAATTGTATTTCTTTCTATCGTCAAACACGATTCTTCGATCTACCACACTCTGTACGGTCGATGGGTCGAGTAAACAGTGAGGACACAGTGCATATCAGATTTGAATTCTCTCGACAGACCGTCCGTTGCGGATTCACCGCTTATTTACCACCATACACAATGCACGAGCAAACACCGCACCTTTCTCGTTACGTGGATTGACTTGCACTAAAGTTTTGTAAACGATAACGTTGTGCAGTTTGTATCGCGAGAATGCAAAGAGACCGATTCACCGACAACGCCAGACGGCGGCCATTACAGAAATGAACTGCTCCGGCGCACGCCGTCTATCGGCGGCACCTGAGGCTCTCCTCGCTTTAACCCCACCATCATCTTTCCTTGCTAATGAATCGAATGCAAAGGCACGTATTTCGAATGTGCGTCTTTCAACCCTGGATTACCAAACCGTTGTAAAAATTATAACGATGGTATAATCATTGTCAAATATCGTCACGTTGCCTCACTAATATTGACTACCTTCTTATTCATTCTAGTAGCATTCGGGGGATTCCCCATCCAATAAGCTTACCCCTATCAAATTTAACTCCTTCAATAATGTAATACTCTATTTCAATAAAAACAATATTTTTCGATGAATTAGTAATCTAACATTAAATAAGGAAACTTATTATTATCTTCCCTAAGCTTTTCAATTTGAACGAAACACGCAACACGTGGGTTGAATAATATGCTTGACAAGTTTGCTGTATAAAGGAAGACACTGTCAGAAAATTCAAAAGCTCTTTTCTTCTTTATCGAACAATAAATGACCATCAATTTCACTTAAAGAAACGTTTATATTCCGTCATGGTAAAAAAGGAAAGACATTCCTCGATAGGATACACAATGAATGGCACCTCGTTTAATTTACCAAACAAGAACAATGTTGCTGCTATGAAAGTAACACCGTGAGAATAGGAATTGGTGAAATTGTATCATTTGTTCAATGAAAATCTACGAAACAACGATTTCACGAGACATAATAATTTATGAGAATTTCCAATCTAACCTTACTGCCACGATCTCGTCTCTACGTCGCTGAACAACTACTTTTTGCTACGCGGAATGAAAGTGTGAGAATTCTCATATGCATACAAGCATATGTACCTTTCACTATCTTTCAACAATTTTCAGTTTCTCAGAAAAGTACTTAAATTTCTACATACCGTTATAGAGATGCCAATGCTGTAGTTTTGAATTATTTCGTATTTTCTACCGCTTGATATGCTCAAATTGCACGTTATGAATTATTGTCACCCTTAATTCAAATTCAGAACTCTGTTACTTTTATTTCACTTTTACTTTTTAAGAATCCCACAACAAATGCTTTTTATAATCTGTTTCCAATAAATTATAAATAAACAGAATTTAAGAAAATGCAACAATTTGAAAATTTATACAACCGAATTAAACTGTGATTTGATTTTTTATGCGCCACTGCAACCCACCACTTTTCCTTATGTTTCCTAGCCTGTTTCTAACCTATCTCTTGTTTGCGAACACAGTAGTACACGTGACACCTTTTTCAAGCATTTTGTCGTTATTCCAATAACATATTTATCTTTATTGTGTACAGGAATTAAAGTTAGCGAAAAGTTAAAGAAACATGGCAAAGTTTTGTTTAAGTAAGTTCATGTATCATATCATTCTAATTTAGTTCATATAACATAAATAAAAGATTACATTTACTTCTGAATCGTTGTTAATTATTATATTATTTATTACAGAAAAGACGAGCAAACGGATGCCAGCTCGGAAGAGGTATAAAATCGAAAAAAAAGTTCGCGAACACAATCGAAAATTAAAAAAGGAAGCTAAGAAACATCCAAAAAGTAAATGCTGCATCTGTATATTGATCTGCATATGTACTTAAAAAAAATATTCATTGATTTTTCCAATTTTGTAGCCAAACGAAAAGTAATTGAAGTTCCAAACCAATGTCCCTTTAAGGAAAATATACTGAAAGAAGTAGAGGCTATGAAAAAACAGCATGATGAAGAAAGACAGAAACAGCGTGAAGCTGCACATGAAAAAAAGAAACAAGAGCTTGCCAAAGGAGGTCTTGAAGGATTGGTCTCAGCAGCACAGCACAAACAAGCAGAACATAAGGAAATGGAAACAGATACTGTCCATGAAAACATAAAAAATGTTTTAGCAAAAGAAGAAAACTCACTGAAAGCTTACTACAAAGAATTTAAAAAAGTGTTAGATGCAGCTGATGTAATTCTTGAAGTTGTTGATGCCAGAGATCCTTTGGGAACCAGATGTAAAGAGGTATGATCATATATGTCATACATATTAATAAGTGTATGTAACAATTGATTTAAATTATAGGTTGAAGAAGCAGTAAGATCTGCAAAAGGAAACAAGCGATTAGTAATTGTTTTAAACAAGGCAGATTTAGTACCCAGAGAAAACTTGAATCAATGGTTAAAGTATTTACGTAGTACATTACCAGCTGTTGCATTTAAGTCTTCTACTCAGGACCAGTCAAAAAGGCTGGGTAGAAGAAAATTAGGAAAAAAGACAGAGGACATGATACAAAGTGGTACCTGTTTTGGTGCTGAATTGCTTCTGTCACTACTTGCAAACTACTGTAGAAATGTTGGGGGTGTTAAAACTAGTATTAGGGTGGGAGTTGTTGGACTTCCAAATGTTGGAAAATCTAGTGTAATCAATTCCCTAAAACGTAGTAGAGCTTGTAATGTAGGAAATACTCCAGGTACTTTACACAACACTATTTCGAAACGTGTAGGTTTTTTCTATTTTACATCATCTGACTTTTTGATATTCAGGAGTAACAAAGGCTATGCAAGCAGTGCAGTTGGATTCCAAAATAAAATTATTAGATTCTCCAGGAATAGTCTTTGCTAATAATTCCGGAGAAAATGGTGACGAAGGATCGATAGCTTTAAAAAATGCAGTTAAGATACAATCTCTAAAAGATCCGTTCACACCGGCAATCACCATTTTAAAAAGGATTTCCAAGCCACAGATATTAGAATTGTACAATGTACAAGACTTTACAACACCTGATGAATTCTTTGCTATGAAAGCCACTAGAATGGGCAGGTTTAAGAAAGGTGGCATACCAGATACGGTAGCGGCGGCTCGTGGTATTTTGGACGATTGGAATTCTGGAAAAATCAGGTATGAAATATTATATTTCATTATTTATCAAATGATCATAAATCGATGTTATTTTTATAGATATTATACCGTTCCTCCTGAACAACCGGATTGTCAAGTATCCGCAGAAATTGTCAGCCAGATAAGTAAGGAATTCGATATCGAAAGTGTTGTTACACAGGAGAAGATGATGCTTGATACTTTCGAAGTGGAATCCAAAAATAAACCAGCTATTGAACCATTGTTAATTGAGAGTTCTGGGCCAGTTACCGCTGCAATGGAGGTTGAGATGCAAAAGGAAACAGTAAGTCAATGTTCAACACGCGTCTCTGACACGTTTCTTCAGCTCGTGTAATGATGTGTTATAATCAATTTATACAGCAAGTCAAGATACAGAACAAGATAAAGAAGAAAGTGGAAAAGGCAAAGCAGAATAAAAACGAAACAAGAAAGAAAAAAGTAGATCCACTGTTTGAGATTGAGGGTAATCAGAAATTAAATAAACTTAATAAGTTACAGTTTAAAAAGGAGAAGAAAGACCGAGCCAGGAGAGGTAAGTACCTAGAAAATTACCTTTTAGATATTCTTATTGTAATATAAATTATCTAAATTTTATAGAAAAGGTAGCTGTTAAATTGGCGGATCAACTCGAAGGATTCAACATTACCGGTCCCGACGATTACGACTTCAGTACAGATTTCGTAGAAAAATAAATATATTATAAAATTGCTTATTTACTATAAATAAACTATTTATATAATAGTTGAATTCAGTTTATATAATGTAAATAATACATCATGTTGTTTATCATTAAACATCTCTTTTTTATTAATGATTTAGTTTCTTTCCACTTCTTCAGGCTCTCCCTACGTTTTCCCTGGATTTTTGCATGTCTTTGCCAAGATTGCTTAGGAAACTTCACTCTACCTATTAATCAGTCCGTTTTCGTCTAAATGAGATAATGTATGGAGGAGGAAAAGTGCGTGTATCAATTAATAAAAAACTTTACATAAATTCGTAGATATATCACATTTGGCCAGTGCCACGCATACGGCGGTAAAAATCATTTAATTATTTTTATCACTATGGGTTAGATAGGACATTCTGTATATTTTTTTTTATCTTTCCTTACGAACGGATTAATTTTAGCTCTGTTGACGGTGCCTTCCGTGTTGCGAGCAACTCGCAAAATATAAACAATGATTCTCGTTTATCATCGTGACAAGCAACAGTGACGGACATAATTTGTCTATTTCTTCTTCTGGATAGAAGTCAGTTTCTTTTGAAACAGCGACTAACGATCACTTACAGACATTACAAAAGTATCAAACAAAATATCTACAAAATTTTCAACACGAACAAATGTACTCGTTAAGCGCAAATCAATTGTGTGAAAATCACTATTACACTCGAAATGTTTGTTCATCCGTTTGCGCTGTATGCGATAATAGGAAGAAAAATTAAAGATAACGAACGTACGATCATTTTTAAAAGGATGTCAATTTTTTTCTCTGTGGGGGAAAGAAAATTTCGCAGTTTTATACTTTTGCACGAGATAACACGTGCACGTGTTCTGAAGTGCAATCAGAAGAATAGATTACCACGGTGGCCAAATCGCGGCTCTTTTCGATCCGTTTATTATAAAGGCTATAATTAACACTTTGGTTCGTGGCTAATTATAATTTGAACTGTAATTTAAAAATTGATAATTTTTCCTATCATTTTAAATCCAAAATCGCAAGATGCAATAAAGTGTAGTTGCCAGATTGTTAAAATTAATTTTACTTATTAATTCATCGCACGATTACGATTGCAATTATATGTATTTACAATGGTATTCTTATAAATGATATGGTATTCTCTATGGTTCTCCGTGGTTTGGTCACCACTGTTATACACTAGAAATTATTAAATTGAAGTGATGCTTGTAGCGAAACGACGATAACAAGTGTACGCATATATATATGATAACGGACAACCACTCTATTACACAATTCATCCAGTCATTCAGTTAGAAGACCTTACAGAAGCAACAGCTACTGTGGGAATTAGTGACAATAGGAGTGTAGATCAAGTGTGCATAATTGGTTGCTTGATTAGTCGACTTTAGCTTTTACTTCATCGAAGAAAGAGATATGAGCGTAAATGAAGAGACGAATCCACCTGTTTCCTTTCCTATCAAACCTCCCGGACCACCAAAAGTATGGAGAGTCATTGAAACTGTTATAAAAGGGAAGGAGAATGCACCGATAAAGTTTTCTATTCAAGAGATACCCGAGGACAGGTACGACGAAGTAGCTGATTACATGTGCACTTATTTTATTCCTGATGAGCCTATGTGTAAATGCTCAAGTAAGTTATTATTATTTCCTTTTTATCCTACTTGATTTATGGTGTACTAATTGATGTCAATTACCCAATTACCGCTCTACAGTAGAAACACGATAACACCACTAATTAAACGCAACGTTAATTTTCCTTTATTTTCCAGATGGAAAAAATGATCCAGAATTCGCAGAAAGTTTCCGAGAACTATGGAAAAAGGTACTGAAACATGGTTTATCCATAGCAGCGTTTACAGAGAATCCTAATGGTGGTAAACCGATAATCGCAGCAGTTAATGTACTTGTATTCTGTCATAAGGACGATAAAGAGGATTATGCCGATTCAATGGTGATTTTCATTATTATTCTTATATCCTCCGAAATGGTTACACTCTGTTTAAATACGTGAAAATAATTTTCAGCCGATAAAGCCAAGACGTATATTGGATGTTGTATTAGATATAAGCAAGAAAGCCCAGGTGTACGAGAAATACGGTGTTGATCGGTATATGGGTGCCTTTGGACTTTCTGTACACCCTTCGTATCGAGGATCTGCTATGGGCGGTCATCTTCTTCGTGCCAGGTACGTAAAATCATAACAGGCTAGAGCATTCGACGTTTTCATAACATTACACGATATATGTTTATCACAGAGAGGACGTAGGACGTGAATACAATATCGAGGTAACGTCTACAGGATTCACTTCGCCTATTTCACAGAAATTGGCCGAACGATGCGGCTTCGAGACCCTGATCGAACAAAATTACGAGGAATTAGTGGACGAAAAAGGAAATCTACTATTTCCGGGCATCGAAGCGAAGACGTTGAAAATAATGGCCAAAAGATTATACTAGCTTTGTACCTGTGAAAGTATAAATGATATCTTTTGGGATAATAATACGTTAGATTTAGGTATCGAAATATAGATGTAAAAAGGATGAAATGAATTTGCAAAGAGGATTACATTTAAGTAGATGTAAGTTTAATCCTTCGCGATCGTATTTACCCGTACCCAAAAATTTTAATCCTTACCGAAGGTACGAGTATCTTTCTAGTTGGAATTATTTTTAATTTTCAGATACCCCTATCACCAAAAATCGTGAAAAATGAAACCTTTATTATATTCAAAATTAATTTCAACCATTTTGACATGGGTACCATCTTCGTTGGAACGTGGGCAGATTATAAAATCTCGTGAAAATTAAATTTTTATGATATCGGAATATTAGGGTCTTTCTATCTCTGGAAATTAATGGAGAATTGAACGGTGTTACCGCATACACCACGCGTGACATTCATCGAATTTCAATTGTTCACCGGTGTCTAACTGTTGTATCATAGGTGCACGCCGAAAATACAGGTGAACGCACTTCCGTTCGTTCCGATAAGCAGCGACATTCGAATGCATCCGAGATACACACAGGTTACGAAATTCGGCTGGCGCGTTCGTGTCCCATCCCTGGCGAAATGTGGGCAACCAGTGAGTAATTCGATGCACGCTCATTAACGACTCATGCTGCGACCCACCGTTCGATAATCGAGCCGGACAGATAACAACTTCCCGACACCAGTTTCCCGCTCTTCTTTATCGCCATAATTTTTCTTTCGAATTGATTCTCTCGAGCAGGTACCATCGCGAGCGAACTAATGATCTTGACAGATGGTTGCTCACAGCGTGGGAGTAAAAAAAACACGAGTTTCCTGATGTTCTAAATGTCGAGTTTCATTGGCGAAATTTTAACGTTCGCATCGAGGATGTTCAGTAGTGTACGTGTTGTCGATAATTCACAGTGACGGGTACGTTTTCAGGTGACATTTAAAGTCGTGACTTTTTTCTTGTTTTCAAATATTTTTTACAACTGTTCAATCTTATAGGATGTAGCTTTACATGACATTGATTAAATGTTCCATTTAACCTTGTTATCGTCGTAGATGATACAAGGTTCAGAATATGTTTAAAATAAATACCGTTTAGTCAACATTATCGGTATCGTTGATTAATGTAACCGATCGATAAAATGAAAATAAGCACGTAAATCTAACTTTAAAAACGAACACTCATGATCGATTCAACGCGCATGCGCGCGTTACTCGTACTTCGCTATAGAGTTACCGCGAAAGGGCAGACGCGTCAGTCGCGTTCGGCGCGTCGTACGAGGAAGTGTGTTCTCGTTCGTTTTCATCCCGATTCCTTCACCATTCGTTCTCGTCCTGTTTACATCACCGATAGCACATCACTCCTTTTCCTGTAACTTTCGCACAGCCGCCAATCGGATGACACGACGATCCGCGATTAAAGAAGGATAATCAAAAATGTACCCGTCTTAAAAAGCGGCCCAAGGATTCTTGTCGAAGGTGATAAAGCCACCGCGGCATATTTCTATTTTTTTTTTTTTATTTTTCTCAGATTGTTTTCACGAACAAATAGCTTTCCACGTTATAGTGTTTGCTTCGTAATTAACGTAGCTACGCTCGTTTGTTCTTTTTATTTCCTCCTTGATAGAGTTCTCGTACTGGGATTTAAACTGACGTGAGACCAGGGATCAGGGGATTAAGAGGGAGAAGTGAATTGATTTTTGTCAATGAATTAAACATTTGTCAATGCATTATAATACACATTTCATTTTCATTCTGTCAACGTGTTAATATAGATTCAAATTTAAACTTATCATATAAAACGAAGATTTATTTGCATAGAAAATATTTTTAAAAGTTATAACAGAACAAGTATTATCACTTTATTCCTATTTCCGAATCGGGATTGCAATACACGTTGGAAGAGCTAAAGGTGCTTGAAAGTATATACATTTTTAACAATATTCTGGAAAATCAAATTTCTTCATCCCCGGTTTAATTCCGTTTCATTCAAAGTCCCAGCTAAAATCGTCATCATTTTAGTCGTGTCTCGATAATCCAAATGATACTATTAATAAATTTGTGAACAAATCTCTGTCCACAAAAGAAGAGAAATAACGAATTTTAATCGTGCTTCGAAATCTAAATGAAACTTTGGACAAACCTCCTCGAATTTCGGTCCACTTTTTCTGAAAAAAAAGAAACTTAATACATTTAATAATATTCTGTGAGAATCAAAGCATTTACCAAAAAAGAAATCCGTAGTTTTCTGAAAATAATCTTGCGATCAGAATTTTTGATCAGCTTTGTAGAAGCTTCTACTGTTTATTTTACTGGGGTTGTCTATACGCTCCGCACACTGGCTTTAAACATGAAGATTATTTTTATTAAAAAGTTGATGAAATAGCATAGATCAAAGCTGGCGGAAATGTTCTGCAAACTTTGACATTTTTTTTCAGTTTATTTCTCGTGGTTAATTCTACGAAACTTTTTCATTGATGTGAAAATGATGTGCTATTATATGTACATAAAAAATAGTATCTTTTCGTATCTGTACAATCTTCACAATTTAAATAAATGGACTATTGTTCGAGCGAAGCAGCATTGAGTGAAAATACTGTATCGACTGCAAAAATAAAGGCATTGTATTTTTTTGTTTTCTATCGAGTCGATACGTGTGTCCAATTGAAATCTGATATAAATTGAGGGAATTGTTGCGCGTACAGAAAATGTTGCTTTTTTAAATATACCTCGGCCGAAAACAAAAATGTTTGTTAATTTGGAAAAGCAATGAAATGGAAGCCGTGAAAAGGAAAATTAAACGACGATGGTGTACGAATTTTGTATCTTTCGTCGGGTCCAACGTTTCGTATATTTATGTACGTCAAAGCGATATGAAATTTTGTATATTCTCGTAGGCGGAAAAGATTTTCCAGATGACGAAGAGGAAATATCTTATGATTCTGTTCGCAATCCATTGTTTATTTAATAATGCTTGACCATTTTCTGCTAGCAACTTGTTGATCATCGTACGGAGATTTCGAGTAGGTAGTTGTTTTTCTGTTCACCGACTCTTGCAAAATTATCCACGGTGTACGTGTAACCGGTGTAACGAAATGCTCCCGCGTAGCACGAAAACGTTATTTCTGCCGGAACAGGTTCTTCTTCCTCGAGTCCTGATTTTTCAGAATCGCATTTGCAAGCGGTCACGTTGCGACCCTTTGCACACCACGGGCATCGTTGCCATTCTCTTAATCGTTACGAGTTTCATTCACCAAACTTTATCGAACCCTCAATCGATAACCGAAGCGTGAAAAAACACTTTTGTTGAAACCATTCAATACAAAATATTAAATTATGAACACTGAATTCACCGCTGTATAATGTTCTTTTATTTATTTCCACCGATAAAACACAGGTGTATAGAATGGTCAGAGTTATCCAAATCTTTCTGTGTTTAATCATTTCAATAGGATTTCACAAACAGTAGGTACCGAGATCCATTGTTTTTGTCCATGAATTCATTGAACTGAACGTATGGCACGCTTCTTTTGAACCCTTGCTTTCGTGGATTACTGTCAGGGTAACTTTGATTGAAGCGTGCATTCTAAAGGTACTTTTGTCGATTCTATTCAAATTTCAGCTCAGTGAAAGTTTTTTAACACAGGATTCTTTGTTAGTTCCCGGTTCTTACAATCAGAACTGACGGTCAATTTATTTAATTTACTCCAGATCGATGAGATGAATTATTTTTAGGAGAAAAAGTTGACGGTGAAAATACAAGCAAAGAGAGGTTTAACGTGGAACAGAAATAAATGTTCGTATTTTTCATTCCATTCGCAAATATACAAACAAACGTGCATTGTTTGTTTATTCAGATTCGAGAATACCGTGAAAGAATGTTCGAGGCACGATTCATAAAAAATTGAAGAGACACGTGCGAATCGTTTGTTCGCGAATCAATCGAATGATCGATCGCGGAGAGGATGAAGTCATCGGACACTTAGCCGGCTTACCTCTCGTCGCCATGAATTTTTCGTGGCAGCTTGTTGGAGTGAAAACTTGAAGCGGCGATAACGATAGAAGAGCAGGAGGAATCGTTAGAGGACGCGAACGACATGTCCGTGGAACGAAACGTCGAAGAAATCGATCGGAATGAAAATGGGAACCGCACGGAGAACCGCTCTAGCTACCTTCCGGAATTCTTCAACATCACTTTGCCGGACGTCAACGCGACGGACGAGATCGACTCTTTCTACTTTTACGAGGTGAGTTAAAGAAAACATCGTGCCCTATAAATATAAGACTTTCGAAACCTTCGAGACGGCTAATCATCGACCTCGTAAATACTGACAATAAGGTTGAGGACAACCCTTCAGGTATGCGAAGGCCGTGGAACATTTTATCGAAGCGCTCCAAATCTACCCCTAGTAGTCATTTTTCAATTTCTGCGCATTATAATTATAAAAATACTATTTCTGGAATTGCAATTTTTCTTCTGGTTAAACACCGGAAGAACGTTATCACCTACGCGACATCATTATCATTGACAATGATTAATTATCGTATCCCTTTGCGTCGATAAAGCCCGTTAGTAATTTTACTGCTATCAGACAGAAAATAATGCTCGCGAAAAAAATGTTATGAAAATATTTCCGCGTCGAGCGTACTATCAGCAACGTTTGGTGTAACTACGACAAAGGAAGGTCAAGAGATGTTTATGGTAGTTTTCGTAGGGACATAATGGAAAACTGTGATAAGGACTTCGTTTCATCGCGATCTCAGTCGACATAAATTTCCTTCTGGGTCTCTTCCATCGTTCAAGATAAAGGAACCATATTTCACGCTTGTGACAAAGCTCCAACTATGATAACCGATCGGGTAAGGGGTTCGTGCTGAAAGTTTTGAGAATTTGCCGTAATCACGTTTAATCCTCCATGACAGGCCGTGAATGATACGCATATTTGAAATACGTAAAGTGGCATGGTAGTCCTCAAAGAGTGACACTCTGGTGACTTAATAAAATAAACAAATTTCTAAAAGACGAGTTCGTCGAACCCTATAAACGTTCCGTAGCAAGCTACAAATATTCGACTGGTATTTTCGGTAGTCGTCGAAGCAATTCGAAAGGAAATTTACGAAGGTGGCGAGTTCCGAGCGTAGATAATTGTGATTCTGCCGTTTGTTAGCCGTATTTCTCGTCGCTCTATTCCCAGCTAAATTTCGAAAGCTAGCAATCGGGAGACGTGTGGCGTAGATCGAATATTAAATTTCGGCACGCACTCTGCTGCGAGAAAGAGGGTTGTCTGCCGGCTAGCCAAAACAGCCAGGCGAAAATGTCGACGTTCGAATTAAAACAGGCGCCTGTCTGGTGTCTATGGTAATTCGTCAGACACTGAACGCCATCGTTCTCTTGTCACCTGTTCCTTTTCTACTCATTCCCCTGACACGTGTCAACCAGCCAAAATTCCATCTCGAACCATTTAACCACCGAATGACAACCATTCCCGACCAATGAATTTCCTTCCCCGCTGATAAAACGAACGATTTACAGTTCGCAATCAGCCGCTGATCGTTTCGAATCAATGTCGATGTAAACAACCGGACAAAATTAACACAGTGATTTCGATGCTTCCGTTATTTTTCATCTTATTTTTGTTCTAAAAACCGTACAAAACACACAACTCGCGGTCGGAAATCTCTTTATCTATAAAAATGATTGAAAGAAACATAACAATTCGCAAAACGACGTTTCTCCTTTTTCACGGAGCTCTATAAGAACACGGTAAAACCTGGAGAAAAAGCAAAGCAACATATTTCAAGGATCGTAGCAAGATTTGTTATCGATCGAAAAGGATCTCGGTCGGTGAAACGTCTCGATTCTCCGGTGGATAGGAATCGATCGAGTTCAAAGCGATGGGTACACACTGTCCACGATGCTCTCCCGACTGTCACCAATCTCGTCCTGTCACCTGCTCGTTTCTTGTCCCCTTTCTACCAAGGTGTATCGCGTTCTCTTCTCTGTAAAACCCTCACGACCGGGAGTTCCTTCTTCTCCTCTCGTCAGCTAACCTTTGATTGCAGAAAGTCCGCCACTGGGAACTCGATTATTTTTACTAGGAATCCGAAGTCACGAGAAAAGAGGGGAAGAAAATGAAAAGAAAAAAAAAAGGAGCTGGTTGACGTGAAACGTTGGAGAATGATAAAATTAAGCTCACAAAATGATCCGACAGCGAAATGGGAAAAACCACCTTTTCACTCGATGTTTTCAATCGAACTGTCTCGTTATATCGTAGCCGGAATCGATACTTCTCGCTTTGATTTACTACGGGATTTTCAAACAATTTCTGTCGACCGACATGCGGGATATTGGAAGAGATATTGAAAGTTTCTGGGAAAAGTTTCGCTTTTGTGAATGTTCCTGGTATAATAGTTTCCCTGTCCGGTTCATCGATCGATGAACTTATTGGAACGTGTCGAACATTTCCACACTCGACGGAAAATACCCAAACTTTTTGGTTATTTGGATCTAATAATGTTTCTCTTACGACACACCTGGTGCGTCATACGTTGTGTGTACTCAACGCAAGCTTTAATTAACTTTAATTAACACGAGACCGCTCTACAACCACTCGGCTCCATGTTTTTTCTTCTTCCTGCGATCTTTAACTAACTGAGGGAAGTTCAATCTTTGTGCGATGATAGTTTCGAAAGTAGCTGAAGAATCTCGAATGCAGAAAGTTTGATGAAAGTCAATTTTCTGGGAACCGAAAGCGAAGTATACTCGATATTTTTTACTAAAATTTCTTAGGTAAATTAATTAATCAACGCAAGCGCTATAACCCCGAACAAAGTCGTAAAGAACGGTCTTCATAACGCTATATGCAATTTCGGTTCTATCGAAGAATCATATCGCATAATAACCTTCGAATCTTGAGCATATTCGTCATAAACCTGATACGAAACGTATACACGAGGTGTCCTAAGTTTGATGGGACATTTATGAAGGTTGCAAAACTATCGTGTCTACGAGATGATCGAACTGAAAGGGAAGATCGTTTTAGCGAGAAACGCTAATGCTTTTGCTGCTTAGCGATATTAAAATTTGAAAAAGTCTTTGAATCAATGCAATGTTGAAACATAGAAGATATTATACATATACTTCAACGCAAGTTAGACAATTTACTTTGTACTAAGGTACAGACCGAGCGAATTAATTATGCATGTGCAAGTACAAGTGCATCGATACAAACGGTTGCACTTGCGATGAAACGATCGTTTCTAAACAAAATACCGCGATATGTAATAGCTGCAGGTGGCAATTTCGTCTCAACAATGACTTGACATTTATTCGAGGTCACTTGCAAGTAATGTCTTCTTTTGTTCATTCAGAAAAAAATATGGCATTTGGTTTAAAAAATGCGCATAGCCATGAAATTTTCAAAATTGTATTTAACTCGGTCAGAAATGCAATGCAGATTTCAATTGTAAATTATGTCACCGATGTAACATCAATATTATAAAGCAAGGGGTTAAAATCGCTCGTGAAATTGTCAGATTGCCGTCGATTTATTTGAAATCACCTACCGTCGTGTAATTATTTGTCACGATGGATTGTTATCAATACGTCCAGCGTCATTTGCCAAACTTCCGAACAAGTTGACAAATGCGTGAAATATTACCGTTCAATGACAATCGCTTTTGATATACGTGCAACCACCAATCGAACCCATAGGAACCTATCATTTGCAATGATACCACATTGCTTCTTTCGTAGCTTGGTTTGCGCTGAAAATTTACGTTACTTTGTACCACAAGGAACGATAACGGTTCTCTTAAATAATGCACGAGATCAAACGGTAACAGACATGGCGACATAACGCGATATTTACCATCGTATTTTAAATTTCCTTGGCAACTCGCAACTCGCCCGCGCTCCGACGAACATAAAATTAGACTTCTAGTCGCGGCATTAAAAATAATGCGAACGTTAAGCGAATATACTCGCGGACAGTCGGACAAGAAAGTACGCGTTCCTGAATGATAGATTCACGTGTCATCTGGTAATTTGTGGAAATGTTACTAGTTAAGAAAGAATTTCCGTTTCTCGGTCATTGAAACCCACTAGCAATCTGGAATTTCGAAATAATTGGCGCCTTTGACGAGGATAAAGAGGAGACACCGGAGGTCCATGCGAAATCATCCTTCCTATCAGAATAATCGACTCGGCTGATAAGGAATAAGATATCAAGAGGGAAGACGTATGATCTAAAGTCTAGATTCCAGACGGAAGAACATCGTCCTTTCTTTTTTCTTTTTCCCCCTTCTGTGTCTTAAACCAGCCAGGGAACTTGGAAGTTCATTCTGTCCGAGCGACCGTAAACAACTCCATCGTAGTCCTTTATCTTCTGGATCACCGGAATACAGGGGGACGCGGATCTAAACCCGTAAAAACCACTCGGCTCCTTCGTTTCCTTAGTTTTAATGCATCACGGGACAAGGTTTATTAGATGTCTATCGTGGGAACGGTCGTTTCGAATTATTTTCCAAAAAGCTTCGCCTGATTACCTGAACCCACACCTTTATGCAACAATTTCTTTTTTATTACGTGGATGGCCCAAAAAATCACACCAATTTACGTATAAAAGCTATACGAAACAATGGAAGGTCCGCTAACTTCTCTCGCGTTTGACACAAATCATAGAAAATTTCGAGTTTGAAGAAATAATATCGCCTGTTGCGATGAAAATTGAAAATTCCGGCGACAACAAAGTGCTGTCCATCACGCACATTTCACCGAAAGCCTTTTCCAATGTTTTAAATGACAGGAATTGAAGCATCTATTTTTTTGCAAAATTGAAAGAGTTGTTCGTGTTAACTCGTGACAGAAGCGTATGACAAATGTTTGAATGGAGGCGCCGATGAATAACTCGACAATTGGGAGTAACAATGTTCAGCTATTACGAGTTTGTATCTAAATGACTTCATCGGGTAATTTTCATTATTCAACTAATGAATCGAACACTTGTTTGCGCAACATATGAACAACATTGGACGATATTTATCGAACGGAAACGAAACGGATGTTTCCTAGAAATTTCGGCACGTTGTTAGTACACGAACAATACAGCTGAGAAAACAATGCACTTACCAAACCGTGTTGGAGTTGCATTTAATTAAGAAAGTTCTCGATATAGTGTATACATTATCGCGGGCATGTAACTTTCTTAACCCACTTGACGTTTGCCCATTAATTTCACCCTTCAAC